AGCTTTTTTTTTTTTTTTTTTTCTTTTGGTACTGGGGATCCAACTCAGGGCCTTGCACTTACGAGGCAGGTGGCAGAACCACTGAGCTAAATCCCCAGCCCTGGCACCAGTTTTTATAGCACAGGTCCTGTTGTATCAGAGTCAGAGCCAGAGTCAGTCCATTTGACCCCAAGTGCGGGCGACATTTAAACACACTCCAGCCTGGGAAAACTTGCCTTGCCAGGACTCTGCTGTTTAAAAAGAGACATTTCTTGAAGAAATATGCTGAAGTTCACCCACGATTCTGCAATACAGTGACTGAGTCGGGGTCTTTCATCTGGCTTGGAATTGATAACTTCCCAGCTGAAACGAGAAAAAGAAAAATAATATAACTGAGCTTCCAATGCATTGTGCAACATTCATGGCTTAAATATTCATGTATTGAGCCTCTCCTGCTGGCCTCACTCTCTGGAAAGGCCTGTGGGTCCCCGTGAAGCCAGAGGTGCCTTCCTCAGACTCCTGCCCCATGAAGCTTGACTGCAAAGAGCAACACAAAGAGCTCCACAATCACCAGATAACAACGAAGGGAACCCGATGGGGGACACGGCGGGGCTGTTTTCCAACTCTGACCTGGAGTGGGTTTGCAGTTGACCATACGCGTTCCAGATAAAGCAATGTGCACGCTCAGACCTCGGGATGGGAGGGACAGAAGGTGCTCTGCTCCTGTGCCCCAGTGTGGCGAAGGGAACCCGGAGCAAAAGATGCAAACAGTTCGGGAGGCGGAGGAGGACCCTGATCCCGCCGGGGAATCGCAGGACTTACTAGAAACTCTTCATACCTTATGGGTCAGGAGGCCACTGAACTTCTAAAGAAACCTGAGCACTAAGCATATGAGAGTTACTAATAAGACTATACCAACAGGGCTGGGGATTTAGCTCAGTGGTTCCACTGCCTGCCTCACAAGCATAAGGACCCGAGTTTGATCCCAGGTACCAAAAAATAAATACATAAATAAATAAAAATACACCAACAAATATTTGTGTTTCCAATTGCTTTCATCACTGGTTGGCTCTGGAGGACATTGTTAAGCTCAATAGGAGCTCACAGCAGCCCCAACTTTTCCAGGGAATCTTTTCCAGACCATCATCTGGGATGCATTGAATGTAACACACAGACCAAGCAGTGTGTGTGTCCCTGTCCCTATTCTGGAGGCGATGCCAGGAGCTGTAGGGGAGGCGACACACAAAGGGGCTTCCGGCAGAAGACCAGGGTTATCAATGAGTGATCATCTAGATCGTGACCAGAAAGGAGGCATCAGGGTAGGACCAATGCTGGGGTTCAGCCCCAGGACCCTGAGACGATCAGGACGACCTCGGCAGAAACTGTGTACATATGCATTCCACTGTTTTCTAATACATTTTGAATAATAAAGCAATCTGTAAGTTATAATTTTTTAACTATAAATTTTAATCTAAGCTTAATGCACGCAAAGGCACTAAAATAGGAGAAAAATGTCTTCCATTTTCCTTTCTCTCTGGCTCAGTAACAGTCCACAAACACTCGGCACTGTCAGCTGTGTGGGTTCCCACCAGGTAGACACCTGCCACAGGACTTCCTGCGGTCGTCAGGAGCTGTCAGGGACCAGTCCATGGCCCACGAACCTACCTCCTATCGAGTCACCCAGGGTGCCTCTTTCTGCTGGTGATTAAATTCCGTACTCAGTGTGCCCACCCCGGGAGTGACTCCAGACCTACGACAAGAGCACCAAGAAGCCGCTATAACCAGATCTTGCCAATATATCTGCCTCGTGGGAAAAGCTTCTTTGCTGGGAAATCAGAGCTGCATGGCCCAGGAAATGTGAGATTATTCCACCACTGTGGTCTCTTTTCTCAGAAAACACAGATGTGCCACATAGTAGCACAGCCAGGCAAGATAACTGTTCAGCTTCGTGGGACCAGGAGGGTGAAGGGAACACAGATTTTCTTATCTGCAGTCTGTGTTGTGTAGTAGTTAAAGATTCACTGGGACTGCGTGGAAAACAGAATTATAACAAAACTCCAAAACTTAAATGATTTGAGGGCTGGGATTTAGCTCCGTGACTCTCAAGTGAAAGGTCCCGAGTTCAATCCCCAGGACCCCCACCAAATGCAGTAACTTAAATGATTTGAGCATCCAATTTTGAAGATGTAAGAATTAATGAACACTCTGTGTTCTGATATATATTTACAATATACTTCCTTTAAGACAATGAGCAGAGACTGGGAGTGCACACACTTATAATGTCTGCACTCTGGGAGGCTGAAGCAGGGGGGTTATAAGTCCGAGCCCAGCCTGGACAACTTAGTGACTTAGTGAGACCCTATCTCAAAATCAAAATGTAAAATAAATAAATAAATGAGAAAAAAGGTTGGAGATGTAGTTCAATGTGAAGGCCCTGGATTCAATCTCCAGTATAGACCCCCGCCCCACACACACACACACACACACACACACACACACACACAAATAGGATGTGCTGTGTTCACACAATGGGAAATAAAACAACAGTGAAGACATAAATTCAAACTTCATGTTTGTGTATCAACTTTTTAGTCAAAATATTAGAAAAGGAAAAAAACACAGAAGTATGTGCACTATGATTTTATTTAAATAAAGCTCAATACAATCAATATGGAGATACCTCAAAGAGCTGGGACTAGAGGCTCCATTTGACCCAGCCATCCCTGTACTGGGTATCTTTCCAAAGGAATTAAAAGAATCATATCACAGTGATACATGCGCACCCATGTTTATAGGGGCACAGTTTGTAATAGCTGAAACTTGGAAACAGCCCATTTGCCCATCAGTTGGAAACTGGATAAAGAAGATGTGGTTTTTCTATAAAATGCAATACTACTCAGCCATAAAGAATGAGAGATTGGATTCATTCATAGGAAAATGAATACATATTGATGATATACTCCTAAGTGAAATAAATAAGTCACACATGTGTAAATACCAAATAGATTCTCTGGTGTGAAAAACTATAATAGTACATAAGATCCTAATGGTATAATTGACCATGTGAAATAGGAAGAAAAGGGCTAAAGGTGTAGGGAAAGTGGGAAGGATAGGGAAAGATAATACGGGAAAGGAGAAAATGAAAAAATGGAAATAAAGTGTTTGTAAATGGGGAGGGGAGGGGGGATTGAAGGGAGGGCAGGGACAAGGGGAAAAAATGAGAACCAAGACCTGGCATGTAAAGGTACAAGATCCCAATGATGAATGTAAGTGTACTGTTTACCTAGAATGTACCAGTAAACTCAATGAGGAAAAAAAATAAAGCTCAACATCATGCTAAGCTGAACGGGTTATTTAAGCAACAAAGTGATTGAAACAAAGCTCAGGAGAGGCGTTGCTTCAGATGGGGAGTAGGCAGAGAGCTTCACCGAGGTGATGACCAGAGTCAACCACTACTGCCAAGGCTCCAGGCGCGTGGGTGCCGATTCTCTGTGCCATTTTACGTAAAATGTTCCGACTCGAGTGGGTAACCATGTTTCCCACTCATGAATAAACCCTCTCCCGGGCTGCCCCGCCTCTCACACCCTGTCCCGCGTCGGCGGGCTGTCCTCAAACCCTGGTCAGGGTCAGAGAGGCTCCACCCTGCAGCAGGCCCTGCGGCGCTGTCCAGGGCCCTGCCCGGTTCTGCGCCCTGACCACAGCCCAGAAGCCACCGCAGGGCTGGACACGGTTTGCTGAGGCCGGTGGGGCCTGCCACGCACGTTCCCAGGGACCCTCCCAAAGCACAGGGGGTTCGGCGGTGCTGCACCCTGATCACCCCACCCCGTCCTGACAGAAGTCCCAGCACCCTTAGCCCAGTCCAGCTGGACAGGTCCCCGTCCGGAGACAGCATTTCTGTGACAGTTCCAAGCACAAATGTTACTGGCTTGCCCCGGGGATATTTACATGTGAAGTAAAAGGAACATCTCTTTTGGCTAGGGCCATGAAAAATATTTATTTTACTATTTTTCTTTTTCATTGCCGAGCCTTAAACGAGGCCAGTTCCGGGCCACTGAGCTACACCCCGGGCCTGAAAATGATTTTTTCAAATAAATGATACACGTCAAAACTCGGTCCTGACGCTACTACCTTTAGGATGCCTGTCTTGGAGGTAACATCACGTGTGTACGTATTTTCTATTATTCTGGTAAGTAAAGTTCTTAAGACTGGAAAGGAGGCAAAGACTAAGTTAGCACTGGAGGGATAATGTCCAGTAGAGACCTCATGTAACTTCAGGCGCTTGATACAGATCAGGATGAACAACTAAAATTTCTCTTTTGCATTTCTAAGTCTTACCTTTTTCCCACAGTGGACATCATCCACCCAGTGACTTAATTCACTCATTCATTCATTCAATAAAAATGCATCAAGCTCCGCTTTGCAAGTTGCACTATGCTAAATGTGTAAAATCTTCAGAAGCTCAGATGCCCACACCACCTCTCCCATCACTGTGCCAACAGACACCACCATTTGCTGGAGAAAACAAGGGAATGTTCAACTTGGGATCACTGTCCATAGCTGAACGATCGCGGCTGTATTAAATTTCTCCCCTCTGAGAAAGCCTCAAGTGACTTGGAACAATAAAGGCCAAAGTTATACTTATATTCACCTAACAAATTCTTCCCACTGGTATTTGAATTGTTGTAATCCCAGACAGAAATCAGAAATGCACTGTACACAACTTGAAAATGTTATCTAGCCAAGTGGGTTTTTGGAAAGACTTCTACACGTCTGAGATGAATAAAACCTCAAAGGCCGGGAATTTAGCTCAGTGGTACCGCACCTGCCTCGCAAGCACAAGGTCCTGCGTTCAATCCCAGGTACCAAAAATTTTTTAAAAAATAAATAATTAACCAAGATTTGTCATGTAGAGGTACAAGATCCCAACAATGAATGTTACTGTACTGTATCCCTAAAATGTACCAATAAACTTAAAGCTGAAAAATAAATAAATAAATAATAATCAATTAAATCTTCAGACAGACCGTACTGAATAAAATGTAACGGAAACATGTTTTCAAAAAGACATCTGAACTCAAAGATGAAGAATTGTCACTCTACAGTTTAAATGAGATACGGACCCAAAAGAGTTGCTCCCTGGCAGTTTAAAAATAGTTTAAAATCGTCCAGTGATCGTTTCTGAATACGATAGGAACACACTGCTACATTCCTTCATTAACTTATGTCAGCACTGGGCGAGGCATTTGGCTCAGTGGTTCGGCCACCTGCCTCGCAGGCGCCAGTGCCCGAGTTTGATCCCCTGTACCACCCCCCAAAAAACTTATGTCACCACTATTGTATAATTTGGATCGAGGCGGAACACT